GGTACAGTGGTTAGTGTGGTACAGTAGTTAGTGTGGTACAGTGGTTAGTGCGGTACAGTGGTCAGTGTGGTACAGTGGTCAGTGTGGTACAGTGGTTAGTGTGGTACAGTGGTCAGTGTGATGCAATGTGTGATAAACCATTGTTATTTTAAAAAAAACAAGTTTTATGTATATAAGTTCTTTTTTTTTTAAAAGCTGAACTGAGAGGTCAGCTTTTTCCTCATTCTAAACATATTTCAATCATTAATGGAACTTTATATGGTGTTTACATGCCATGCTTTATTACAGTGTATTTGAAAGTAGATGCAGTTTTCTAACTTATCACTAATTCTGTTTTATAATTGAATTGTGTTTCTAATTCTATGCATAAATTTTTGTATCCAGGGTGAACCAGGTAAAGACGGTGATCCAGGTCCAGCCGGTGCAAGAGGTGCTCGGGTGAGTTTATTTTTTGTGATATTACTCATGATGTCAGATTTGAAGTGTTTGGTAAATTAATTATCAAATTTAATCAGTTTTGCATATACTGTATCTGCTTTATTAGTACATTAGGCATGTGCTTACGTAAATTACAGACTACAATGGTAAAAAATTGTCATATTTTAATGAATCAGTATACAACAAGTGTTATTTAGGTTTTTTATGCACTTCTATTAGAGATGTGCATCTAACAGAGCAATTACGATATATGTAAATTTAATTCCTTTCTTCACCCCCGAACATACATCTCATAGGGTCGCAAAAGGGAGGTATTTACCAGAAATAGAATTTCCATTGACAAGTATATTTAATGTTTGATCCAGAACTTCTTTTGAGCCAAATGATTTTTGGTTATCTGTAGCAAATGCACAAGCCCCAGAAAAACAATATAAGATTTCTGGTCATCTCGTGCATTACTTTATTCAAAAAATACTTTGCCAAATACTTCTGTGAGCTGACGATATGCAAGGCATATAAAGAAGAAATAATATATTTAAAATTAATTAAAGGAAGTTGTCGTGCCTTGTTTGCGCGAGATATATGGATCTCATAAAAATCAAGATGGCGACTTTGACAGTTGCGAATCTGCATCCACAAGTACAAACTGAGATGTTACCAAGCTTTAATTAGGTATTTTTTTAAGTGATTGGAAGGTTTGGAAGGAGTCACCAGTGGAAATTAGTGCAAGTTGCGCCCAGGTCAAACCTCATATTTGTGATTTTCATTAGAAGAGTGCATTGGATTGTGGGAAATTCAATGTTTATCAACACAAAATTTTACACATGCGCAGTGCGACAACCATCGCACTTTAAAAATTAAAATATTCTTGATTTCATCAGCAATTGTCTGCAGTTCTATTGTGCTACTGCCCTCTATAGGAAAGAATAGGATTTCAAATGATGGACTTTTGTTTTTGTTTTTTTTCTGTTTAGGGTGAAAGTGGTAAAGATGGTGATGCCGGTCCTGTTGGACCTACTGGTCCGCGTGGTCCCGCTGGTGAGAGAGGTGCTACAGGAGCTACAGGCTCTCCAGGTTTTGTAGGACAAACAGGTCAGCCTGGTCTGCCAGGAGAACCTGGACAACCCGGTGAACAGGGTGTACAAGGCGAGGCAGGTCCTGCTGGACAAATTGGACCAAGGGTAAATTTTATTGAGATTAAATAATTTTTGTGTCGTAACTCTACAATATTCTAATAATAATGTTGTCCAGTGGAGTAATATGAATCCTGTTGATAATCAATAGACTACAACCAGCTTTATTTTTAAATAATGTCCCTGTTTTGAATTTGTAAAGAATGTTTTATCTACAATCATGCAATTCTTCACTATGGAACGGTCACATTAGATACATGTTATTGCACAAAAATGATCACCCAAATGTGCTGTAAAGGCATGGCTAATACAAACATATGTACAGCAAACTAAATATTTAGGGAAGGGGGTTGACGTTTTGTTTTTAATGTTTGTTCTATTTGTTTTCGCACTTAAGGCTGGGAAGGGGGCAAATCTTAAAATAAAAATGTTCACTATGATTTAATTAACCAAGGCTCCTATATAAAACATTTATTGATTGTTGAGCTATTACAGGAAAAATTATGCATATAATGTTGCTAAGAGAACACCATGACATGCATTCAAATGTTGATTGTACCGATCTTTTTTGCCATATTTCATAAATGTTGTCAGATTACCCATAAGTGTATAATGCTAACGAAAGTATAGAGCCAATTACTGACATACCATATGAAATTTATACTAGAGACATTTGTTCATGTTATTCGCTGACTTGTATCTAGGGAGAACGAGGACAGCCAGGAGAACGAGGCACAGCTGGTCCTCGAGGTGAGAGGGGCACCCGTGGTGAACAGGGTCCAGCTGGTTTGGATGGTTCTAAAGTAAGTTTTCATTCCCTATTCTAAATTAACTGTTGATCATAACTCATGTTTGTGTGTTGTTCCTATATAGGGAGAGAGAGGTCATCCTGGCGAGCGTGGTACGCCGGGTCCCAACGGAAAGAAAGGAGATCGTGGCTTCCAAGGCGCTGCCGGTTCAGATGGTGCAAAGGTTGGCTAACAAAACAGCATGCAACTAACATACTTTGCATGTCATAATGCACATCCATATTGCATGATTGTGCACTCACAATGCATTGGGAAATCCAGCATGCAATAGTGATTCTACCCACAATGCATTAGTCTGATTAGCCAATTTTGATTTTGATCTAAAAAACAGACTTTGAAATAAAAATTATAATTTGTTTCACAAATGAAATTTGAAACCAACATTAGACACACGATTTCTGCAAGATTTATCCCAGTGAACTGCACTGAACTCACCTTTCAAATCCCCTATTGCACCCACATGGCTTTAGAGTGAATCAAAAATATGATAATTTTGCTTTGGCAACTAGATTTTGGAAAAATAATGCTAACTTTCACATTAACAAATTTTAGAAATGAAATCTTGATTTGATTTGAAATTTGCACCAAAAATCCCTCATAATAACATTTCCAACAGCACCAGCCTTTTTCCAGCCATGACCATGAATAGTTTTTTATGTAAACTTTCAAAAAAACTGTCACGAAATTGAACATTACTATTTTCTGTTCCTTTTCTCAGTTTTGATAAATTTTTTCAAGTCGGAGGAACTTTGCTATGCTTCAGTATCAATTATAGAAAAGTTTCTCCATGCTGATAAAGTTCTAGTTAGGTGAAAAAAAAATCAAAATCTTCAATGAAAACTATTCTTACCTTTTGATCATCTGATACAAAATCACCTTTGTCCAACAGTTGATAAATACAATTCAAACTTGGCATTGAATAATTGGTAATAGTAATTACAACTAGACAAGACTTTGAAATTGAAGCAAAATATACTTAAAATGGATATCCTAAAAAATAAATTAGAATTCATCCAGAACGATTCAGCTTCAAACATATTTTATTATGATTTACTAAACTATAGAGGATGCACTCTACTCTGAACTATAGAGGGCGCTCAGTACAATAACAAATCTGCTTATAATTTAAATGGATCACCTCTAAAATGGTTTGAGTAATGGTACCTTCTACAAAACATTATTTGTGTTTCATATTTTATAAATGTCAATCCAAACATAGTGAACTTGAAACCAAACAGCTTTTCCAATGTAGCCTGATATAAAAATAACTACTACTGATATACCAAAAATCTGAACAATTTCAGTTTTCTCCTTTGGTTTTGAGTTTCAACACATGTTTTCATGTAGGAATGCAGCACTCCTATAAAAACACCCTCTATTCTGGTGTTTTTCACTTGCTAAATACACCAAGCACTCTAATTATTAACGCATCATCTGAAATATTCTTCATTCGTAGCCTCTATAATGGACCACCATTCAGGGAGAATTTGACAATCCTACTCTCTTCTTGTTAATGTTTGAATGTCTTATGGAATCTATTTATTTATTTTTTTTTATGTTTTTTTTTTTTTTTAAAGTAATGATGATATTGATTGATATATCTGTAAATGCTACTTTATGTAATATATTTGTTTTTATCAATTTTTTTTTTTATGTTTTTTTTTTTTAATTGATTGCATCGTTTGCATTATTTAATTTATGTATAATGCCATTTGTGCAAGTGGTTGATAAGCAGAACAAATACTACATTTCAGAAAAATTTCATATTTTCAGTTGCAAAAGGAGGAGATTCCTTGGAAATTGCTTCTACAGCATTTGACAAACTAAAAACATAATTTAAATATATATCTAGAAGTTTTTCAGCAATACCATTAGTATGTTGCATAGCTCTGCTTATCAACCTGTTGAATTTTACCCATAATTCATAATGATTGTTAGGATCATGTGATGCTATTATATACCATATAAGGTATTTAATGGTCTGTATGGGGTATGAACAAAATTGTGAATATTAGAGCACAAATCAAATACTTATTACCACAAGTGATATGAAATGATTATGGCCAATATAAGATTTTGTTCCCACATTTTACCTGGAAGCACAATAATAAATTGCTGCAACAACTGAAATTTATGCAATTGGCTCACTTCTGTGGATAGTAATAATTTTTTTTTACCTGTGATATAGAAAATGGACACAAAAAATGATCTGTCCAGTGGTCAAAGAAACAATTGACCCTCCCAGGCTATTAGCCAGGAATTTGCAACTGCCAGTCCAAAACAATTCAACTTCATGAAAATGTAGATGGTTTTGGATATGTTTTGGTAAAATTATTAAAGAACAGTAGGAAAAAACAGAAAAATGGGGAAAAAGTTGCCAAAATCCAAAATCAAAGTTGCTAGGCCATTTGGTGGGTGGACTGGTGACTGGCTAACACCCCCCCCCCCTAAAAAACACCCACCAACACCCCACCAATATTTGACCAGATCACAAATGAAAATTTACAAATGATAATTCAGACTAGACCAGACCAGATTTTCGCATGCAAAGCAGCTTTAATTTTTAAGTTTGTTAATATTTTGGAGCAATAATTCACAGGTCACATATCCTTGCACTTCTGAGTGTATTGTCCTATACAGTAATCAGTACTTTGACATGGTAGACTGACAACTGCTTGAATTCTTTCTTAGAAATATCATTTCCACTAGCAGTTCTGAATCAGAATCATACACTAATGTGATTTAAGCGTTGGGTACTATAATTTGTGATTGTGTTGCAATGAATTATGGGTATTTATATAAAACTGTAATTTGACATGTTGTTTATTATTGATGTTAATTGGATTGTAGGGTTCTAGCGGTCCAAAAGGTGTGAGAGGAGAAGGCGGTCCACAAGGCTTACAGGTCAGTCTATAATCATGTTCATTGCAAATCGACTACGTTTGGTGTACCAGTACATAGTCACAAGCTCTATTCAAAATCATTTTGATCAATTGTGTTAAAGCAGCAAAATTGACCATCATCAAAATGTGTATAGTACAATATTAATAATGGAAAAACCTGAAAATACTTTCGCATTTTTTTGATGCTTCGCGATGTTTTGACATTGACGCTATGACCTTTGTTTATCTTGTGTTTGATTTAATGCAAAATACCAGATCTTGCAGTGTGTTTGAATGAAATTTTATATTTTTATTTCATTAGGGTTTACCAGGTCCAGCAGGTTTAACTGGTGCGACTGGTGCTAAAGGTGATCGTGTAAGTAATGCATTTTTATTTCTTGAACA